ATCACATTATCACATTTGTAAGGCAGAAATTTTCCATAGGAGAACTCCTGCTATCAGTAATATCAATCAAACTGAAGGAAAGAAAAAGAAAAAGAAAAAGAAAAAAAAAAATTTTTTTAAAACACTTTGTTATTTTAAATCATATTTTTCCTTTACTGTTGCTGATAATGTAGAAACCCAAATTGCTTTGTCCTGGCTTTTTCCTTGTTAGTGTGATGTTATAGCAGCCTCAGAGGTGGAATAAGAGTCCTTTGTAAAACTCCTGACTTATTATTAAACATTGTGCTGGCAATGGCCAGCAGTGACCTGACTGGATTCAATCAGAAGATGTTTTATTTGTGCAGTAGTGACTGAAGAAATAGTGCAGGAAGACAAGTATTTGTTCTGAGAAACGTCTAAGTCCCTGCTGAGTTTTGAATCCAATAAAGGATGGTGCTGAAAAGAAGATGGGCTGAAGATTAAAAATGACATGTCCTTCTGCACAAGTTGCTGGATAAAGGCAGGTCTAAAAAAACCAAATCCACAAATATTGGCATAACATCTTTTGTCACTACTGTGGTGGTACCAAAAGCAAATTGAGGCTTTAAGAGAACTTTTGCTTTCCTGTTGCCTCTAAATTTACATGTTTCTATTTCCCCTTTGAAACACCTGATTTTTTTTCTCATACACCTGAGGCATTGTCCCTTTTCTTTCTCATCGTGACAACCAGATTTCCTAAATTTCACATATTTTTTTTCTCCCAAAAGACTGAAACATTTTTTTCTTGAAACAACCTAGTCACTTTTTTTTTTCCTTTTTTTTTTTTCCTTTTTCCCCACCTAACCATCTCCCATGGTTTAGGAGAGAAAGATCTACTTTCCTTTATCCTCTCCTCTTCCAAACTCCTTTGAACTGCCTCTTGATCTTCAGTCAGGCATGCAGTTGGTGAGACTGCTGCTGCAGGCATCTGTTAGTAAGAATGGAAGAGTTCGATTAAAAGATTTGTAGAAAGCTGTCAGAAGAAATGTAGGGCATCCATACAGACTTCATAGAACAAAGTGATCTGACACCTGTCAGAGCCTAGACAAGTGATCTGCACAATTAATACTGGTTTGCACTTAAAAGTACCTGATGTGATTAGAGCAGAGCAGACTCCAGATCTAAGGCACGCTCCTCCCATACATGCATCTCGGTCATGGAGCAAGGGGAAAAAAGAGCAAGTCCCAGGACAGGGCATCAACTAACTGAATTTATGAGTTCATGTCAGTGCTCTCTTTTCCCCTTCATCTCCTGGCTTTCCTCCCAGCCCAGTTAAGTCTATTTCATCTGCCACTTAGAATAGTAGAGCCTTAAATAATGATTCAGGCACATAGCATTTTTTAAACTCTGTCATAAATACCGATAACTGCAGAGCGTGTGTTCAGTGGATGCAATGGCTGTAGGTTTGGAGACAGCACTCTGTCCCACCCTGTAATAGTCTGTAGTAAAGTTCTCAGAGCAATGCAGGAATGAAAATGATGGAGCTCTGTAAATAAGCACATATGCAATGAGATGGTCTTCTTTGAATGCAAAACATCTGAAGTGCCTGTGCTGCCTGAAATCATGTGAAGTGTCTCATCCAGCCCTGCACTGCGAGCCGGTCGAGGGAGGGGATCGTCCCGCTCTGCTCTGCACTGGGGCGGGCTCACCTCCAGCACTGGGGGCAGTTTTGGGCACCACAGGATAAAAAGGATCTAAAGCTGCTGGAGAGTGTCCAGAGGATGGACACAAAA